CGGTGGCACCCAGGTGATCGTAGCCAGCCCCCTCCTCCAGAGCCCATATGACCTCTTTGCTGGGGACCACCGCCTTGCGCTGTGGCCGGGTGACCGTGTCCGTGAGCGCCTCTTCCAACGAGCTCTTCTTGGACTTGAGGCGATGGAGCTCGTCTATCTTCAGCAACCCGAAGGTCTTGGAAAACCATTTGAGGGTGTTCCACACCTGCCGTAGCTTGCACGGGGTGACCTCCTCTTCGGCGAGCTGGTTAAGGAGAGAGCGGACATGTCGCCATGGAATCACTGTGAAGCCTCTCTTCCGGAGACTCTCGTAGACCAGGCAATGTTGCCTGAGTGTCCGGAACCTACTGTCCCCCAGGAGGTCCAATGCCTCCTTGCGGAAGTCCTCCCCCAGGATGTCCTGCATGTATGCGATGTGCTCCGCAAACGGGGCAAAGTGGGCTAGGAGCCGTTCCGCCCATTTCCCGCGCATATGGAGTTCCAGCGCTCGCTGGGTCGTGGGCTCCATTTCCCTTATTTTGCCCGGGCGCCAGTGCCTCCACTTCAGAAGCTCCGGTTGTTGAAGTGGGGGTGGGTCATCTCGTGAGAACCACCTCAATTGGTCCTGGCGGTCCCATTCATTCTCCAGCGAGGAAAAGTTCTCGCTCGGCTTGCCCTCCGCCGTCGCCATTAGGAGGAACCATAGGCTATCCCACAGGTCGGCCAGGTCCGCCGCGGACAGAGGCTGGGGAAGCCTGCCCGCCGCCGACGCCACCAGGCCGTTGAAGTAGTCCGTCGGGACCACTTGGTCGTCTTGTCCTACCGGAATGCCCGAGAGTTCCAGGAGCTGGGCGAAGCGGATTGCCGGCTCCCCGCCCAGCTTCCTCCCCTCCTCCTCCGTGCCATGGCGCAGGCACATCAGGACCAACAGCTCCCCGTCCGTCTGTCTCGGGGAGAAGGACTCATCCGCCAATGTGTCCCAAAGGACCCTTTAAATGCGGTCCCAAAGACGTGTGTAAGGCGGGCGCAAAAGAAACTTGGTAGAAACCCTAGCCATGATGAAAAGGGGGGTTCGAGCCTCCAATCGAACGGCCGGGACCCAACCGCGGCACAATGCATGCATGCTCCAAACGCGCAGAATGCCGAGTGCAGATGGAGCAGGCAGGCCACACGCATCCCGACAGGACCAAAAATCAACCACCAGAAATCCCCAAAAGCACGGAGGGGGGAGACCAACCCGGCGGGGGATTCCCCAAAACCCCAAGGGGGCCTCAAGGAAACCAAGAGTCAGCCGCAGCCACTTTTTCCGAACCGTGGCTGATATGGCCCGTCCTTGGGGCAGCCAATGCATGTGGCCTCCTGGTCGAGGCGATCAGGCTGTCGTGGCGTGTTGAACAGGGGGGAAACAATGGTGAAAGATGAACCCAAAAGGAAAACCCATTACCCCTCCCCCCACCGGAGACGGGGCCAAAGGCACCCAAGTCCCGGCGGGAAGAGATCACACGACTCCCACATCCGAAAGGGCTGTGAGACAAAACCTAGCTGCTCCCTCCCTTCAGGATCGCCTCCTTTGCCACCGAGTGGATTGCCGCCAGCCCCGACTTCTCCGGGTTGCTCAGGATGACCGACCACAAGGCAGTGGAGACATCCCCCAGGCCATTCGAGGAGCTGAAGCGCATGCGGGGGGTGCTCGCGTCGCCCAGGACCAGCCGCTCATCGCTGGGAGGCTCCGTTGGCTCCACCCTCTTGTAGAACTCCATCCGGTCACGGATCCACTGATTGTACAGCTGCTCCGGGGGGCTCGTCCATCACCAGCTGCAAGCATGTGGCCTTGTCTTTGTGCCACCCCGTGATCCCCAGGCACTGATGCTTGGCAAGACCAAGCCACACTCCACGGAGGCCCAAAACACATGCTTCGTCCCCTTGGGGAAGTGCTTGTTGATGTACTTCCGGCCCGCGACCGCCGTGACCGTGGCCGTGGTGATGGGCGGGTATCGCCTGGTGCCCTGGTCTGGTGTGCGGAGCGTGGTGTCTGCCCCCCCCAGGACCTTGGCCTTGGGGTCCGCCTCCTTGGCCGCTCCTCCCCCGGGGCCAAAGGCACCCAAGGGGGGGGAGCAACCCAGCTGCCGGATGAGGTCCTGGGAGTAACCCGACCTGTCGTACAAGGCCCCCGCCGCCTCCTGCGGGACCTGCTCGACCCAGTCGTGGACCACGTTGCAGCGCCAGTTGACCTTCACCTCCACCATCGAAGACTTGCTCAGGCCCGCCACCAACTTGGTGTAGATCGAGTCGAAGGCCTTCAGCGATGCCAGCGGGAGGGTGATCCGCTCGTCGCACACCGCCCTGAAATGCAGTGCCTCCTTACTGTCATGGATGGGGGCCACTGGGATCTCCATCACGGGCAACGGGCAGTTGACGATGAAATTCTTGGCCGCCAAAAATGTCCCCATCTCCTTGAAGATGTAGCTCCATTCCTCCTTGCTGCGCGGCTTGGGGATGCCCAGGCTCTCCAGGAAGGGCACCGCCTCCTTCCTCATCTGGAGGATGTTGCCCATCCACTTGTCCGAGGTCGAGCCCTCCGCATTGCGGCCCCGGCGTTGCGTCTTCACGATCAACGGGAAAGTGGTCCAGGCCGAGTAGATGTACTTGAAAGTGAACCTGTGGGCGTACACTCCCGTCAGGCTCGGCAGGTCCCACGTTCTCGTCTGTCTGGTCCAAAACACCCCATCACCTTTCGCCCAGAAGATCCCCACCACCTGCTCCGGCGCCGGGCGCTCGCCCCGGTTCACCTGCGCTCGGATCTCCAAGGCCGTGTAGATGACTGGGTCGATGTGGTCCTGCTCGCACGTGAGTGGGTGAGTCCTGCGCTCCAGGGCCAGGAGCTCCTCCGGCGTGAGCTTAAACTGTCAGCGCCCCGGGGGATCTCACCGCTTGCGTGCTTCTTCCAAATCCCCCCAAACATCCGGAGCTCTCCCTGGTGCCTCTTCATCGCCCAGAGGATCAAGGACAGCTTGCCCTCCTCCGAGTCCAGGTCTTGGGGGGCCGGTGCCACCAGATCGGGCATCTCCTCCAGCAGCGCCTCCTGGTGCCATGGGTTCTGCGACGCTCTGAGCATCCTGATGTAGGGGACATATTCCCGGACCTTCAACGCCTCGTCGTCCGCCTCCATGGACAGGATCTCCTGCCGGATGTCCACCCGCCTGTTAAGCGGGACCACGTCTGCCATGGTGATCTCATCTGCCGTGTCCGTTTTCGGAGGGGCTCTCCCCAGGACCGTGCCGTCCACCAAGTTGCGGTCGGCCTGTGCCCGGATACCACCGGGGCCAGCGGCACCCAGGCTTCCCCGTTCCCGCTGCTGGATCCAGGTCGGCTTGCCCTCCACGATGAGCAGGTTGTAGGTGATGCCGTCCGCCTCATAGGTGGCCGAGGGTGCCTGGAAGGGGACGAAATCCTTGCCTGTAATCGGAATGGCCTGCATCGAGCCTGTGCATTCGCTGGGTGCCAATGCACGCCTTGTTCCTCTGGAACTGCGAGGCCCAGACCTCCTCCTGCCGGATCTGGATCTTCATCGGGACATAAGCCTCCAGGATGCGAATCACCAGGTCCTCCGTGAGATTCTTCCCGACAAACTTGTGGAACAGGGAGACCGCCTCCTCCACCGTGATGTCCCTCAGCAAAGTGGCCGCCGATGCTGGAAGGACTGGAAAAAGGTCTGGGAGGTCCACCAGCTTGAAATAACCGGGTCGGCCCTCAACCGGCACCAAGGAGACCGGTTTGTTAACCTGAGCCGTGGTCTTCTGGGAAGCCGCCACGAAACCCTTCAACCTCTTCGTGGGTGGCGTCTGTGCCTCCTCCGGTGGCGTGGCCCGCTCCGTGACGTCCGCGTCTTCCATGTCCTTGTCATCCTCCTCGGCGGGGCCAGGGGCACCCAAGCCGGAAGTCGGTGTGGCAAATGCCACACGGAGACGCTCCAGTGCACTGGAGAGGTCCTTCATCACATCAGTAGCCGAAGCCGACGGGGGGGCCTCGGGCTCGTCCAAAACCAAGCCGGCCGCCACTGCCGCCTCGCGTGTGCGAATTTCCTGGGCCTCCTGGCTGGCCATTTCAACCTCCTCCACGGTGAGTGTCTGGTCCTCAATCAGCTCAAAGGAGGTGGCCGAGGTTGCCGAGGAAGCCATTGCTTGATCGGGGTTAGGTTCGAAAGTGTCAAAGCTCAAATTTTTCAAACAGCTTGGGTTCCAGGAACCCAGACAATGCTTGAGCCAAAATGGCACATGCCATTGTGGTCAAGCATTCCAAACACAGTTCATGTTTCCACATGCGTTTCAACATTAACAAATTGTTATTTGTGTTTTTTCTTTTAATCAGGGGCTGAACTTCTGAACAGGGTGTGAATTTTACCAGGGGGCCGGCCGGTTGGTGGACGTCATTTTAGTTCGGATTCATGTCCGATCACTTGGGAGGAGGTTCCAACTGCAAAACAACATAGCCAGAGTCCTTTTAAGTTGGTGTCTTTGAAAGGGCTCGAGTTCCGGAAACACCCAAAACACGACCAAAGGTTCCCGGCAAACTCTCGGCCGCAACTGGCAACGGTTCTCGTCAGATATTCACGCTATGCGTGGGGGGAATGACAAACCTTCAATGTTCTCTTGCATAAATCCTTAGGGATCCTTGACACACTGCGCTCAAAACGACTTGCAGAGTTTCTAAAAACTGGCATCTTGCCCCAAGTTCAACAGAAAAAGAGAAGCATAAAACATAAACACGAGAAAAGCTGGTACATCTGGTTCTGACTTCCACTTCCCTGGAATTCCTGCTGCTAGTTCCATTGCCACATCGAGCTTCCATCCGAAGTAAGAAGGACCCTTCATCGTGGGACCAGCTCCTTGATAGCATTTGAAACGAAACAGAAAGGGAGACCGACCCCTATGTTCGAAGATCATTCAACCACGTGGGGGAGCAATTCTACCTGCTTGCAGGGGTCCGCACTCGCGGCGGCACTTTCATCTGGGCGCGCGGGCTGTCTGCAGAGCAGCCGCCTGACCTTTCTTGTCGCCAGCCTGGCAGAGAAATGGGTGTGGGTCAAAATTAAGCCACCAGGGGACCGCAAGTTTTAGTCTTTCTTTCCATTTACTAGGGTTCCATTTGGGGTAGTTTTCACCCACAGTCAACTGTCGATTTCGCGGCTCAATGGAAACTCGGGTCGAAAGGCGGCACAAGGCGACGTCAGCGGCCATATTTCGGACAATGGTGGACCTTTTGGGACCAGCCCGGGGGTCATTCTGTGCCGTGGAAACGGGGTCAGAACCCACAAAGGGGCACTAGGTTCCCATCCCAAGTGCCATCACACGCCCCTTGAAGGAGGACCCCGCCCCCAAAACAAGTCTGCGGGTCTTGATCCGAAAGGTCACCAAGAGCCAGTCTCGGCAACGTTGGGAGTCCGGCTGCAAACGTTGCAATCTTGAGAAAACCTTGCAGATAGGATAGGGGGTGGTTCCAGCGAAGGATTCCCCGGAACGAACCATGCCCATCAGACATCAGCCCAAAGTTGACTCATCCGTGCCTTTTTCCAAGTGCCCCAATCCCCGCGTCAGTGGTTACAAGGCTACTTGCGCGGCTGAGAAGCCGCAATCTGCTAGCTAAGTAACCTCTGCAGAGGACAAGTAGCATGGCCTCACGGAAGGGCATTCAAGGGCGCTCATGAATGGCGCCCCTCAAGCCATACGCCCCAAGTGTGCTTTCGTCAGAATGAGCAGTGGGTTCAGCGCAATGCCAGCATCCCCACAATGGCAGCACTGCATTGTTCACCGTGCACACAGCACACCTCGGCCCCCCGAAAAGCGTGGCCTCCTGCAAGAGGCTCAAAGCCTCTGAGGCGAGGCTAGCTGCCTAGCGAGGTGAAGGGAGGGCCATCCCTGAGAAGTCGCGCCTAGGAAAAGAGAAACGAGACGAACGCATGGGTCGTCTCTCATACAGCACGTTGCTGGCATAAGGCTACCAGGAGTATTTGGATAAGCTGAACTGCAAATAACCAGTGTGATTGTGGCCGTGTCAACATTTCACAGAAGGCAGCGTATGATATTGTGGATGGACAAAATCCACCAGTTGGCATGGATATAGCGTGTAACTGGGATAACCACCCACCAACCGATGCGAAGTGGATGTTATCCATCCACAGTACAACAACTGAGTGTTTCTCAGAATGGTAGACCATCGTTTGGTTGGTACGAAATGGGACACCAAGAGGAAACTAACCAGGAAAGGTGATCACTATTTTGAGAACCCCCCACTCGTTTCCCAAGAACTCCATGTTGCAAGGTCGCTGAAGTGCATCTTGTCCGTCCGAAACGTGGCCAACCCGCCCTGGAACAAACGCTTAATGGGCCCTGGTGTGATGTCGCTGACCGAATGCCGCAAGGAATGCAAAGAAAATCAAACAGGAGAGGTCAATGAATTGTGTAGTAAAACGAATGAGTCGTTTTAGGGAACCCTGCAGATGTCTACCCAGTCTTATAAAGGGCTTGTCCGAGATGTTTTCCGGGTTGAACCAGGGATGGGCCCCCATAATATCAGGATGCAAAATTGCCACAAAGGCAATGCAACGCCGGTTGCCGTGAGCCATGTGAATCTGCAGACTCACTTCCTGGGTGGAGGTGCTTTCATATTATTTCCTCGGGCTGTTTTTCTCCAGATAGCTGAAAGCTATAGGGGTTCTAACTTCTAATAAAGAGGGGAAGTGCGAGATTGATGGGCTGGTGCTTGGCGGCGTGCAGTTTGGGGTCCTGGTGTAGGCGCTGTTTGGGGTGCTGTTTGGGGTGCTGTTTGGGGTGCTGTTTGGGGTGCTGTTTGGGGTGCTGTTTGAGGTGCTTTTGGGGGCGCTGTTGGAGGTGATTGACGGCTGGGTGCTAGCGGGCATGCAGAGTGACGGTGCGAGCGCATTTTTGCAAGATTTGACGGTAGGGTGCAATGGGGGCATGCAGTTTGGGGTGGTGGTGATGGGGGTGGTGGTGCTGCTGGTGGTGGTGGTGGTGCTGCTGGTGGTGGTGGTGGTGGTGGTGGTGCTGGTGGTGCTGGTGGTGCTGGTGGTGCTGGTGGCGCTGGTGGTGCTGGTGGTGCTGGTGGTGCTGGTGGTGGTGGTGGTGCTGGTGGTGGTGCTGCTGCTGCTGCTGCTGCTGCTGCTGGTGGTGGTGGTGGTGGTGGTGGTGTTTTGGAATGTGTTGGGTGTGCTGCTGGTTAAGCGGAGCCTTTAGGGTTGCTTTAGGGATGTGGTTGCGTGAGTCCCCAAACCACCAAAACTAGCCCACAACGCAATCACATTCCTAAAGCAATCCTAAAGGCACCACTTAACCAGCAGTACACCCAACACAAGTCAGCTCCAAGCCAACCCCAAATCCACCCAAAGCCAATCCTAAACCCGCCCAACAGCAGCCAACCATCCATCCAACCAATCAACCAACCAACCAACCAACCCAGCCCTAGCAAAACAAAAACGCCCTAGGAAATCAAAAAAAAAAGCGGATCCCTCACTTCCTGGATTGGCCAAAAAGAAGTAACCAAGCTTTTAATGTATATACCAAACAAACATGGCCTTCCCAAACCCAAACAGTTTCAAGTCCGAAACGGAACTCGGGGAGTGAAAAGGTCCTTTTGATGTGGTGACCATTAGGGAAACCAACAAAAAAGATGCCTTTCACCACATGGCAAAAGTTGCCCATGGTCAAAGCCGGGACCCGAAAGGAATATTGATCAACCAAGCAACTAAGACTCCTGAGTGCAGGCCAAAAACCAAGTCTGAATTTTGTTGTTTACCACCAAAAAGTGACCAAAGCCCAAAGTCCATGAACTCAGGAAAGCAACTCAGACCTTTGGCTTTTCCCGTCCCCGCGCCCCGGTGGCGCCCGGTGGCGCCCAACCGCGCACCGAGCCTCCTGGACGCCCAGCAGCTGCTCCGCCAGACTTCTCAGCGCCTGGCCCTGCCAGCGCCGCGACGAAGCGAAGCGACGAATTGACCCGAGACCCAGCTCCCCGCGGAGTCTTTGCTCCGAGGGCTGTTTTGGGGAGGTGGACTTGAGGAACCTGAGCCACCTGAAAACCCCACGGTTTGTTGGGCGGTTTTCTTTTCTTTTTTTTCTGGGGGTTGACTTGAGGAACCCGATGAGCCACCTGAAAACCCCACGGTTCTTGAGATCTTGTCGGGTGCTTGTTAGTTTTAAGTTGCCCAATCGACAAAAAGTGGGTTGGTGAAAGATATGGTGAGCGGCACATGGGATCGGGAGAGAAAAACGAGGATGCACAAGAGGGTGCCCTCTTGTGCATAACCAGAGCAAGCTGGTTAGGTGGTCTGTTGGTCACCAGCTCAGCCGTGATTTGAGTCCTGCGGATGGACCAAATCCAGTGACTCGGGTCCCAGTTGTCACATGCTGGACATGGACTGTCCATCCAAGTAGGTCGGTTGCAGTTCCTCACAGCCAAAAAAGTGCCTTACATCTATCATTCCAAGAGGCTCCAATTGGCCGAAATCGCTCGAGTCAGTTTTGCTTCAAACATGTCCACCCTGTCAGGTTGCCAGTCACCGTCGCAGCCGCCAACCACGAGACCACCACGTGCTAACCAGTTAGCCGCCTCCCCGAGCTTGTCCCCTTTGCTCTTGTAGTAGGCGGCTCGTTCCTTGCAGACCTCAGGGCTCTTCTCAACTTCGGATTCAGGACCGTGCCAACTCAAAATTCCCTTGGTTCGTGGCGGTAATTCCAACCATGGTGTCTGGTTGGTGTACTTGCAATATGTAGGCAATCCACCATTCTTTGACGAATCCGTACCTTTCAGGCGGATTCCTCTGATTCGTGTGGTGGGGATGAACAACATTCAATTCAAGGGCGAGCCAGCGTTTGAATCACCGCGTTCAAAGGTGGTCGACCCTGCAGATGGAATGTGCACACTAATGTTGCCCCCATACTAATAAACCCCTGTTTATTAATATGGGGGTGTTCCCCTCCAAAAGCGAGAAATCCCCGCAAAAGCCACGGAAACACCCATATGAATAAAACGGGGCTTATTAATCTCAAGGCGACAGGCACAAGCGTCGAAACGGCCAGCTTCGGCTTCCCGCATGTTCTGATGCCATAGGAAGCGAAGGGGGCCAACAGCTTCCTTCGCGTAAGGCCACAAAAACCAAATCCCCCCCCCCCGATAGCATCTGTTGCCAAAGCGATCAACTTCAAAGTCAACAAGTGTCTTTGCCCAAAAATGATATCCACCGTCCCACATTCTAGAAATGGGTTGCCAACACCCATTTTGCCAACCATATTAAATTACCAACTTGGCCTCTTCTTGTTTCTTATGCGGAGGGGGGGGGGAACACCCCCCTTGGCTACCAACTGTATCTGCAAATTCTGCAACACTTCCAAACCCTGCGATACGGGATCCCCAAGCAAAGGACCTACATGATGGAGAGCCCGTTCCCCCCCCGTCTCAACAAGGAAACCCTCCAAACAGGAGGCTTCCTTGTAATTTCCCACAACCCACAAGGCCTACCCTCAAGAAAAGACACCAGTGCCCTTTCTTGGGTCATGTTGGGGACCCAAAAAACCAACCCTCTGGGGTTGCGGCGTCCATTTCTTGGACCATTTCCCCACTCGCCCCCCACCTTTACCGGGCGCCCCGGCCGCAGCGGGCGCTTTTTCCGCACCCTCCCGCGCGGAGGCAACCTCCAGGAGTGTGGCCCTCGGCGGCGCGTTGTTAAGATTTCTCCCTTTTGACCACAGACGTGGCTGTGGGTCAAATACGCAAAATGGGCTGCCCTGGAAAACGGAAACAATGACTAAAACCGGACGAAATGTCCATTTCGCACCACCGTTCAGAAACCCTGGTTTCTGATGCGATTCCCCAACGCATAAAACCAACAAATGGCTTCAACCATGGTTTCAATTTGGTGCAAAATGGACCTCCTGACCACATCCCCAAAGTTGATTGAAGTAAATGAACAAATGTTCATAAGAAGAAACAAACATTGACCCGGAATGCTCCAGCCCGAGCTGGTCCAGAGGATGCTTGGGATGTTGCCAGCCCTAGGAACAAATCAGCGCTGAAAAACCAGACCTAGTCAAGAACAAAACGGAACAAAAAAGCCAGACACCCACAGGAAATGGCGGTTTGTGAGTAGAAGGATTGGCTCAGTCGGGGTGTCTTCCTCCGAGTCTCGAAATTAGCGCTCCAGAGATTCATTTCGAAGTTGCGACATGTTGTAGGTTCGAAGCTCTATTATTTGTATCAAGCTGGCCTAGATCTTGAGGGCGGGTCTTGGGTGTGGGGTTGATACTTTAGCAACGCTCCACAACCTACCCCAACCAGCCCAAAAGCGCAAGAAAGCCACACACGTAACCGCATCTCTAAAGCAACCCTAAAGCCACTAGCTCCAAACCAACCTTAAACCCGCCAAAGTCAATCCTAAGTCTTAAACCACCCAACAGCAGCCCGGATATCAGCCCTTTGCCGAGCCAAAATGAACCCCAAATCAACCCAAGACCCACCCTTGTTAAGATCTAAGCCAGCTTAAAACTCACTAGAAACCAGCCCTGGCAAGAGTTCCCTGGAGCTTGCTTCTCTTCTTGGAATGAATTGGAACCTCCTCAAGGCACCAAGTTTAGGGCGGAGCAAACTTCTCTTAAAACTGAGCTCCCGCATGAAAAGAAGAGGAACACCAATGAAACACCTTTTGGGGCCCCATTAAAGGGGGGGCTCCCTGTTTTGAGACATACTGCACGGCTTAAAGTGGGAAACAAGCACGCCATAACACGAAACCCGCGATAAAGGAGAGGGACGCAGTAAAAGGAAACCCGACATAGAAATCCGTCAAAGGGACACCAAATGCGGGAGAGCAAAACGCTGGAAACAAAGAAACACCGGAAAGGGAAACTCGGCAGTCAAAGAACTGGGAAGCATGGCCCCGCACCTCCTTGGCCCAAAAAAAGGAGGAGAATGTGTGTTTTGGGGGGAAAACGTGGGCGTCATCCGTAGCCTCAATCAAGGAAACACCTATTTGGGTGTCATTTTTGAGGAAACCTATTTTTGCGTTGGTTTCAAGGGGAACAACACCTATTTGTGCTTTGCCGAGTCATTGATGCCTGGTTTTGTGTCTGGCTCGGATGACTTGAGGTCGTCTGAAAATATCGGACTTCCTTTCCGCCCCCCCCCCCCCCAACACACACAAGGAATAAAAACATTGAGTGAGCGGCGTTCCCTCCGGTTAAACCGGAAAAGTAGGTACAAACTCCAAACATATGGCCCACAAATTGCGGTTTGCCCTTCTTTTTTTTTCAAAACCGCCCCCAAGCAGCATACATACCAACTCAAGTAATGACACCATGGTGTTGGCAAATCACTCCTTGCGATGCCGGTGCGGTTCATTCCCATGACAACTTGATTACTTTGAAACCGCACTTCCTCACCTTAAACAAAACAACCTTAAACCCTTTTTTCCTCGACTTGACGGTCTCGCTTGGTCTCACCTAACATTGGCAGCCCAAAAAAAAGATATTTGCCCGAACCACGAACAACTCTCACACACACACCACTTCCTGAGAACATGTGGATTTTGTTGGTTCAACTGTGGCTCCTGGGGCTCCCAGCACTGCTGCTTGCTCCCCCTCCACATCCTTGATCCTTGGCTCGAGAGAACTCTCTTGCGTGGAGAGGGCGGTGTCTTTCGGGGAGCCCCAAAAAGGGTGGTTGTCCTTTTGAGCCAACCAAAAACCGGGTACGCTCAAAACTGACAAATACACACCCATAGATTGCAGATATGGGCGTGTCTCAAAATAGGATTTGGACCCCAGAAAGATTTGTCTTCCACTTGGTTACCCTCACTTCAACCGAAAAAACGACACACCCGTACGTACACTATGTAAATGTATGCACAAAAGAAAATAAATGCCCAAAGATCACGAGGACGAAAACACAATTGTCAGTCAACTGGAGTAAAGCATTGGGGAACTGGAGCAAAGCATTCGGGGAACTGGAGCAAAGCATTCGGGGAACTGGAGCAAAGCATTGGAGCAAAGCATTGCATAACTGAAGCAAAACATTCGTGGAACTGGAGCAAAGAATTGCGGGAACTGGAGCAAAGCATGGGGGAACTGAAGCAAAACATTGGGGAACTGGAGAGCAAAACATCGGGGAACTGGAGCAAAGCATTGGAAAATGTGGAGCAAAACATCGGGCAAGTGGAGCAAACCATTGGGGACTGAAGCACACCGTTGATGATTGAATACCGAAACAACAAATTGGGGAACTGAAGCAAAACAATTGAAGCTTGAAGCAACACATGCAGCAATGGACCGGAACCGGAAACCCTTTCCCCGTCTTTAGATTTTCATCCACCCCGTCTGGGCCAAAGCCCCGCGCTCGCGGAAGATGCGCAAGGCGTCCCTGAGGGACGCCTCCGCTACGGTGAGCTCGCCCCTCAGATGGAGACAGCGAAGGGGGGCAAGGAGGCACCGGGAAAACGGAGATACTTCTCAATTTTCACAGAAGGCATCCAAAAGACAAAGCGGAACCCTATTATGTCTGCTATGAAGCGAGTTCATGACTTTCTCCCGCATCACGGTTGCTCTCTACAAGCTCATCAGCCCTCCAAAGCTGAATATCTCAAGAACACCGGCTGTGTGCTGCAGGGGTTCTCAAACTGGTGTTCCCCTCAAATGGTTGGCTTTCTTCCAGTGTTCCTTTAAATACGAAAGGGAGGTCCACCAAATGGTGCGAGAAACCTATATTTACAGAACTGGTAGCTCCTAAAAGCACACAAACACCCGACACGCAAATTTTGATACGTTCGACCTTTCACCTTCAACTTGATGCTTGCCGTGTTCGGCATGCATACTGACCAGCACATCTGCAATTCACTGGATGCGCCAAGGGCAAGGCAATAAGCACGAAGTGGCAAATTAACTTGTTTAATCTTGAAGGCTTGAAGGCTTCAACATAGCAAAGCAGAACGGGTGGGTTCTTTCCGCCTCGTCTACCATCGTTGAGAGGGTTTCTCAGAAGCTGGCACATGTGTGCTACACCCAGGTTTCGTGAACCGCACTTGCTTTGAGCTTTAACTGTTGATGGTGGGGTGATGTGCAAATTCTCACTCATCAGCAAATACAACTGTTCGGGCAAGTGGCAACAGCTTCCCGGCCAAGACAGACACTGGACGGGGAAGCAAATCTAGATCCAGCTCGGTGACGGCTCCCGGAGCCAACCAGCTAGAAACCCTCAAATGGGTGCGTCTTGTGGTTTTAAGGGACAGGTACGTTCTGAAACCGCGCCCGTCATGCCCGCGGTGCCTGTGGTGCCCGTGGGTGTTAATGGAAAGACAGAAGGAAACCCATCCGATTTTCTTGGGGGGAGTTCCAACATCCGTTGCCTCACCCAATCTGTGTGCCAGGCAGAGCCAGCCGAATGTTTGCCAGGGCCGTCAGCGTGGACGCCTCCATCTGCTTGTCCCCAAGCTGGCCGGGGGCAAACACTGGGTGTTGGTCAACCAGAAGTTAGCTTTTTGCACCCATGCCGTGGATGGACGAAATCCTGCACCACCCAAGAAAAACATGAATGACAATTCCCTTGTAAATACCAGCAACCAATGGTGTCCCATGGGTTCGAAGTGGGATTTCGTCCATCCACAGTAGTGAGCTCACTTGACCCCCAGGTGACATGGCCACAAACTAGGCAGCTGCTTCTGGTCGTGCACGCGGCAACAGGGCGTTGGTCGCCGAGGTGACGCGTGAACTTGTCTGCATGAGGGGAAGATATGGGGAGGGCATAGCGACCACCGCGAGATCTGCATAGCGGCTGTCCTTTCAAAGCTGGATCCCCCAAATCAACATGGAATTTTGGAATTGCATTGGGTCCTGCCAGCGTGGAACGCTGTACAAAAGGGCTACCACTTTGGGCAATTCAGCGCAAGCGCACTGCGCAAGCATTCTGCGCGCCAGTGAAGCAGAGCTGGAAATCTTCAATGGATGTCAACGGTGCAAAAAGTGCAAAGCAATAGAAAGCCGTTTCTTGCCACTTTCCCTGGGCGGGAAAAGGACAATAGACTACACCATATAGACTGCAATTTTCCTGTGGAACGGAGAAACTTCTCACTTTCATTTGCTGCTACTGCAAGATTGGTGGTCTCCATCGATTATTTCATGTACAAGAACGCTTCTACCTGTGGGCCTCCGTGAAAATATGCTTTGGTAATGTCACTATGTGTAATATGATTTTGGTGCGACTCCAGCAGGGTGGCCAGTAGACGGGCACTCCCATAAACAAAGAACACCTTGCTTAGACCACTGAAATTGAAATATGGTACCAACCTATCCATGTTAGAAACACCCATGTGGGAGGTTGTCTATTTTTTGGCTGGGCCGCGGGGGGGGGGGGGTGAGCCCTAGGATCCATTTTCTTCGGTAAACATGACACATGGCCATGGGTCAAGATCCAAATCGTGCCCCTAGTGAACATCAACCAATCCAACCACTAAAATAGGTTCTAAAATGGGAAGTGAATTCACCTACCCCAAACACTTAAGGAACTAGGACCCCAGCCAAAAAACCTATATATTTTGCCTGGTCAGTCAAAAGCAAAAGGGGACCCTAAAAAAGCAAAAAAAAAAAAAGGGGGGACGAATTCTGGGGAAGCAAACGTGGTACCATTGGTTTTGACCACCACAGCCACATGAAAAATCGATGAGACCCGCAACGAAAAAATCGATCGATCAGATCGCCTCCTTGAAGCTGGAGAGCGCAGTCATGGCATGGCCTGAGGAGTTGAGCCAAGGACTCGGCGAAGCAACGGCCAGGGCTAGCTCAGGTTTTTTTGTTTTTTCTTGCGTAGGCCGGACAAAAACTGTTTCTAAAAAAAACACAAAAATGTGAATTACAAGGAAAGAACCCAAATCAGTAAGCAGCTGGTTGTGATCCTCGTGTTGGCTCCGCAAAAGGAGCCCAGAATTTTGTCCATTGTCGAGTCCTGTCTCAAAGGAAAATGGGGGAAACCCTTTGGAATTACATTCTAGGTGGAAAGGACTGTAGACCTTACGGATTGCTGTCGGGCGCAACTCGCTCTGCAAAAGCAAGTGAGTGAGGTTGGCACAATCATGGCCCATCGCAACTGCAAATGACCAAATGAGGTCTGCCTCTGCATGTGGGAGAAATAATTCTCTCAATATGACGTTCCGCTAGTATGCCGTGAGGTGTATAAGGCGTACGCACACACATCAAGTAAAACGCGCAATCGTGACCGTTATGTTGAATATGGTCCAGCACCCTTTGGATTGTGGTTGGAGTTGGTTCAGGATTGGTTATGATGGTTTAGAGATGATGGCTGGGCAGGGTTGATTTGAGCGTTTTGGGAACATCCTGCCCGCCCTGTGGAGTCGGTTTAGGGCTTACTTGCATTCGGTTTGGTCTTAGTTGGATGGTTTGCTCATCAAAGCAAGTTTGGAAGGAACTTCCCTGGTACGGAAACTAGTTGGAAGCTAGCTCCCTGACAGAATACAAGAGAATTATAGGCACATGCGGGCAAAAAAGCGTGCGAGTGTGGCGGGGAATGGTAATGGCCACAAAGTACAGCCTTCTGGGTTTCAGTTCTTGCGGATGCTCGAAAGTCAGCCCGATGGCGACGCCTTGAAAGGCGGTCAAATACGGCACTTTTCAAACATCATACTGGAATGATGAGCGCGCAGCTACCCCAGTGAGCCTTCGCTTGCCAACTGTATCAGAATGACAGAATTCTCTTCGCAAACCACGGCACTTGTTCACCAAGGTGGGCGACTGGGTCAGGAACTTTGCACAGCGATCGTTTTCTCCTTTTTCAGCTGCCTGTTAACCTTGGCCAACACCGTTCGAACATGAATTTGGGAGTGGACGGGGGCATGTGTGCTCCAACATGTGACTATTTCAGAACTTTAAGATATTGATTTGTATAGCCGCATAGCTTGGCACAATGGATAGCTATGCCAGCGGGGTCGGAGCGCTCTCGGAGTGAGCTCGCAGCGCGGTCGGAGCGACGCAGTGGGGGCGCCGCGAGCTTTGGGGCCAAACCGCCCGCAAGTCCGCAGAGGGTCGACCCACACAAAGTGCGCTGAGGGTGCGGAGGCCCTTACTCTGGGCGGGGGGAGGGTAGGAGGGGGGAGGACAAAACCATATTAACATATATTTGATGATTGCATACAAGCGCGTATTACTGTTGGAACCGCATCATGGTAGATGAATATGCACTTTTAAGATTCGACATCCAGACCCCCGCATGGGTGTATTGTTTGGTTGGGCGCCAGGTGTTTTGATGGGAAATCAAAAGGAGACCAAAGCCACTGACGTTCCATATCCACACTGGACTCTCTTTGCTTCCCTTTCTAACATGACCCGATAGAGGGAAGTCGCTAAACACACCGGCCAAAAAGGCACAAACAATCCCCCCCTCTCACCGCCCCAAAATCAGGAAGTATTGAACTAAGTATTGGGCGCGAAGCTGGTCCATTGTACAGCAACTTGCCGGTTCTCAAAAAATGATGGACTTCCCAAAATCCTCTCTTGATCAAGTTTCGAGGACATTAGGCTTTGTCAAGACAGGGTGACCCCCCCAAAAAAAAGAAGAAGAAAAACAACTTGGGGTTAATCCCGGGGGTCCCCTTCAACCACCTCCCCACAACCGGGTTGGACCACAACCCACCCAGACCCCCGCACCCCCGGACCCGTCTTCGTTGGGCCCGCGCCGAGGCCCGTCTTCGGCTCCGCGCTCAGCGCCAGGGCCAGGGAGGCGGAGGCTTCTCCGTCCTGGACGACTTTTTTCTCCGAGCAGCCGGGTGTGGAAGGAACGGGTGGAAATGTTCGGGGCCCGAAAATAAGACGTGATCAATTTTTGGGGCATAAAGACGGAAGGGGGGAACTAAAGGGTCAAAAGGTCGATTCGCTTTGGGCAAGTGAAATTTTGATGGGTACCTAGTTTCATGGGTAATGCTAACCCCGGAGTAGTGGACCCCTGGTTGATTTTGATCGGGGGTGTCCCCTTTGGGTGGGGATTCAGACCACTGTTGGAGGGAATACCCCCCCCCAATAGTGGGACGGGTTTATTTATCCTGGGTCAACATAAGGGGATTCCCTGAGTACAGTTTGTGTTGGACAGGTTTTGTATGGGTGTATAATAAAACCCACCCCTAAAGTGGGTGGTTTTTCCCTTTAGTCTCTTTGAAAAAACGAAGACACGCCCATACTTGGTTTCTGTAACGACCCCAATGCAAAAAGTGTTACACGTTGTGTGGGTTCGATTCGGAAAGCCAACTTGATTTCCCAAAAAGCTAAAGTCTAAAGATCCATCCCAGTAGCAAGCAAGCTGAAAGGAAGCCAATTCGGTTGGATGGTTCTTTTCTTGAGGTTGTTCCATTTCTGAGGGTCCCTGCCTATCGAACCAGCAAGCAAGATTCAACAGGATGGCCAGCCTTCAAGGCAGAGTGCAAGGAGTATTGGCAACCCGGAATTGGGGGGTGTCCAATTCCTTTTCCCGGTGCGGGTGGGGGGGGTCATGAATGGGTGGCTCGTCTCTTTCTGCGCAGCGGTTTTCCTTGTGGTTTCCATTGAAAGAAACTACCAAAAGGGGGCTACCCCTGGCCACTTTTGGAGGGACCACCCGAATCCCGAATGGGACGGGTTCTACTTAGATCCGAGGACACTAAGTCCGATACCATTTGTCGGGGGTGTCTTAACATAGGGGATCTAACATGTTGCGGTTTTCGCTTTTGGTTTCCCTTTAGACCAGCCCCAAAGAGGGTACGAGGAAAGCGAGACCCAGGTTGGTTTGAAGGGAAGCCAACGGAAATACCCAATGTGGGAAAAAAAAGGACGCCAAACGGAAAACCAATATCCGTTTTGGGAGGGTCACCCAAAAAAACGACAAGCCACCCATGTCGCCTGCCCTGAGATCTATCCATCGTTTAGGGTGTCGGGTTTCGGGGTTTAGGGTTTAGGGGTCGTCTGCCCAGACATCTACCCATCGTTTAGCCCAAACGAAGCCCGCGCCTTGTTCCCCTTGAGCACCGTCATGGCCTCCTCCGCGCACTGGGCCGCCGCCTCTGTCTCGCCTGCGGGTTCGCGCGCGCGCGCGCGGGGCGGACGTGAGAGAGGACCAACCCAAACTCAGCCGTGGAAACGGCGAAGCAGCGAAACACAAGGGACATGTTGCATGGGTCCCTGAAGTTGCCCCTCCAAAAGTTGCAATTGAATGGTGGTTTCTATTGAAACTTTTGGAGATCCCAAAACAGGAAATGGAGGAAACCTTGTGTTACTTTGTTTGTCGCCCCTCCCCCAAAAAAGAAAAAAACAGTTATATAAACGGGACCCCACAAAGAGGGCATTCACCGTGGAAACACGTTGTTTGTGAGGACTTGTGCTATCCGGACCCCTGCTTGAACTCTGTAAGGCCCCCCACTTTGGTCATGTCCGAGGCGCACACACACACACACACACACCCACCCACCCACCCACCCACCCACCCACCCACCCACCCACCCGCCCGCCCGCCCGCCCGCCCGCCCGCCCGCCCGCCCGCCCGCCCGCCCGCCCGCCCGCCCGCCCGCCCGCCGCCCGCCCGCCCGCCCGCCCGCCCGCCCGCCCGCCCGCCCGCCCGCCCGCACGCCCGCCCCCACCGCCCGCTTTCCGCACCCGCCCGCCCCCCGCCCGCCCCGCCCGCCCGCCCGCCCGCCCGCCCGCCCGCCCGCCCACCCCGCCCGCCCCCCGCCCGCCCGCCCGCCCGCCCGCCCGCCCCCCCCCCCCCCACCCCACCCAACCACCCAACCACCCACCCCCAACCACCCAACCACCCAACCACCCAACCACCCAACCACCCAACCACCCAACCACCCAACCACCCAACCACCCCACCACCCCACCCACCCACCACCCTGCGTGCCTTGTGCCAAATGGGCCAGGGAGGCAGTCAGTCGCCCGGCGCCGTCCTGCCAATGGAGTGCCCAGGCTTCAAGTGAAACGGAACCAGATATCAGGTTTCGGCAAATGGGTCTGTCTCAGACGCAGGGAAGCCTGGTTTGGCTTGTGTCAGAGACAAGCGGAACCCAACCCACGCGCCTAGTCTTTAGAAACACCCAAGTCCACTCTGGAGATTTGCCCATAGAAAGCGGCCAAAAGTTGATCTTCAGACTCAGACGAGTAAGCCTAACACCCACGTGCTTTCATCTGAGCTAGAATTTTAATGAAGTAACTCATTTCCTGATTGACTCGGCCAAAAAAGGCCGAACTTTCAGCCTACCATTAAAATGGCCTTCCCAAGCCCAAGTGACTAAAATCCAGCAACTTGGGGAAGAGAGAAGACGGCAAACTGACCTGGGTGTTTATGGCGCCGGCTCCGGTCCTTGCCCGCCGCTTTCAAAGCTGCCGGAGCGCCTGGCTGAGTGACCCATGCCCAACGACTAAAACAGTAGATGCCAAAGACGCCGAAGGAAGCCGTACTGGGAATACTTTCTGTCGCGCTTCACGAGTAAACTTATTGCACATACGGGCACACGTTGGAGATCCTCGCGTTTGCCACCAGTTGACCATTGTTGAACATTGTTTGGGGGTTGGAAGTGGTTGGTTTAGAGTTTAGTTGCAATGTTTAGAACATCCATCGTGCGCGCGAGGCCCCGACCGCATCGCCCACATCTTGAGTTTGGGGCCCGAGCCCATCTTGTGCTTCCCGAAATAAACCCTGCAGTGGAGCAAAGCGAAAGCAAAGGAAGCCAAACCTACCGTTGGCTCAAAGCACTGTAACAAGAACTAACCCAGTGCTTGGCAAGCCATTGCATCAACGCTCAATCAACTATCCCCAAACCCTGAAAGGAAACACGGATATGGGTGTGTCCACTTTCAGTGACACACACACCCCCCCCACCCAACCAACAACGTGACTTTCCTTGTTGGGTGTCCTTTAAAACCACCACAAGGGAACCAGCTCCAAAAAGAAACACACCCGATGAGCTCTCTCAACGTCGATCGCATGGCAAGCCCTGCAGTTTGGACAAGCCTCACACACGCAGGGATAAAAAGAGATAGACTATCCCCTTACGTTTCTGGGGCGTCCAACATTTAACAACGAAGGCCTATCCTTCCCTTTCTTGGTGATCAAATCGCTGCCTGTATCGTCACATGCGGGTCAAAAGTAGGTACCCAACATGGAACTTGGATAACTGGAGCCAAGGACTAAAAACTAAAACCTGCGGTCCCAGCTGGTTTGAGTTTGACCTACACGAACATTCCCTTGGCCCGCGCCCAGAGTCAGCGGGTCGACTCCGCCCGAGCCCCCACGACGCGCGCGGGCGCCTTTCTCGAGGACGTGGGTCTCCGCTTGCGCCAGGAGGCTCTGGCCCTAGCGACTGGGAAAACGCGGCCGGGGAAACGCGAGGGGCGGAATCGCCAAGCTGCTTCTCCTAGAGTGGATGGTTGCGAAATCCATTTCGCAGCACTTCGAAACCATGCGAAACCATCGTTTGTTGGGGTATTTACGGGGGAACCATCATTGCAGGGTGTCTTAGGTTGTGCAGGATTTCGTCCATTCACCGTATGATCATCCCTTAAACCGTTTTGTAGAAGCCCATTCCGATGTTTGAAGCCCTGATAACTCATGGCAGGGAAACCGTAATGTTCCCACAGGCCAGGTTCAAAGGCAAACACGGCCATGCCCCAAACCCTGAAACCTCCCTGCGCCTCTCTAGAAATCATTGTGATACTTGGAGAAGATCCGCAACTGTATGGAGTCACAGCTGCAAACGATCACACCGCACAGTTGGTCAGTTGGCTGCATTGTGCTCTTTCGCATCGCATTCTGAGTCTATGCCAACCTCATGTCAAGAGGAAAGGACAGCAGTCATTCGGTAAGTGTGTTTTTGAGGGTGCCCTTTTCAGGTTGGTTTTTAAAGGGTAACCAACAGTTCTCTTTTTTGGGGGGGGTGGGGTGAATGAACGGTACCCATGAGTCGGACTTCGACGTTGGATTCTCTTTCCCGCCAGTTTGTATATAGTTGGTATGCACCCAAAAACGGCCAGGGACCCGTACCACTGGACCACACAACTTTGCTTAGCAGAACACTTTAACCTGCAAGTCAGTTCTGTCTCGAACTTGAATTCGAGTGTCAGAATTTGAGTTGCTGGAATGAGTGAAATCTTGAGCAAGGAAGCACCTAACGTGCCATATATCCCCCCTCTCCACCCAGAAACCAACTCCGCAGCGCCTGGTACCGGGTAGGAGCCGCCTGCGGGCTGCTGAGTAACCCCCTTGCCCTTGCACGCCCGATTCCGTGGTATGAGAACCCTTCAAGCAGAGCCAATCCAAAACACGAGGCCTCGTGCCTCGTCAAGTTGGGGTGCCTTCGCCCCCTCTTGAAACCTCTAAGATGGCGTCTGTAATTCACCGACATCGACAGCTCTCGGAACAGGCCAAGGCAATCAAGTAAACCACCACAAACTAGCCATGGTGACGGACGGGGCATGTGTCCAGAAACCATGGGGAAAAGATATGGACAATGAACGGTACACAAAAAAAATAACTCCATGCCATCCTTTTCATCCAGGATGACAGTTTCAATGTCTTGCCACGCATCAATACCCAGCGTTCAACCACACAATTTCATTGACCCAAATGAATTCCAGGATGCCTCCTTCTTGTGCAGCGCAAGTTGGGATCAGTTTGTTGCGCTCTTTCAGATTCAGATCGAACCCCCGACAAAGGTTAGTGCTTTCTTTAAATACACTAGGTTCTTGAGTAGAGAGGATAGAATAAGGGTACCCTTTTTTCTGTAGTCTATTTTAGTAGGGGAACCCTCCCAACCAAAAACGGGTAAAAAGGCACCTAGCTGGCGGACCTGGTAGAAATCTCCTCTTGGGGCTGCGCCACCCTTTGAAGGGTGGCTGCAGGGTGGGGTACAAACCACCCAACGGGTCCCCTTTGGTGCATGAAGCATGTGGCCATAGGTCAAAAGCCCGTACCCCCAGTGAACATCCCAATCCCCACTAAAATAGACTAAAATGGGTGGTGAATTCACCTAGCCCAAAATGGGGTCCCATCGGTTTTGACCCACAGCCATGTCGGCCTTGCTGGCTTCGCACTTCTCCAGCAGCCTGCAGCCTCACGGACCGGAGCATTGGGCCATTGCCTGTCTCAGTGCGTGGATGTCAGTTGCCAAGCTAAGTGGTTGGCCACCTGTCTCATATGACCCACAGAAACAGTTGGGACTTATATGCGGGCTATAAGTTAGGTTACCAATAACTTATTAACTTGGCAAGGAACACCCAAGTATCCGGATTCACAGGTTCTCAACGCGCCGTTTCAGGAATCCGCTAGTTGGAAAATGATCGCTACACGTGAAAATCAAAGGCTGATGTGTTGGGACCAAAGCCGAACTATTCCAAAATGAAACCCCAAAGTGAGAGTATCACTGATCCCAAGGCCTTTAGCCAACAGCATCTGCGGTCAGGCTCAAGCAAATGCTCACCTGGATTGCTTGAGCTCTTTGTATGCATCCATGAATTCTACCCATGTCCTCACACCTTGCCTATCAACCAATCCAGTCACGCTGGGCAACCCCCGTCAGGCTGCCTTTAAGTCTCAATGGTCGCACGTGTTGGGACGCTCCTAGACACGAGGATGGAGCAAAAAAACTGGGGAACCTTTGGTGGACGTCATGTATATGACGGTGGTCTGTTCCGAGAACACCTTTGCTCTATATCCGGTTGATACTTCTCAATTGCCTTTTTACGCGGCTGGAGTGTACATGTAGAGCACAGCGGACTAAAACCAGCGGTTTGCTGCCGCCCAATCAAAGACTTCACTCCTTTGGACAAGTCCAAATCTGGGGTCAAAGTTGCTCCAAAAAGCATTCCTGACTCTGTTCCAGGTGCAGTCTACCCCCCAAAACCAAAAAACATGGAAACTCAGTCCCAAAAATCTACGAACATATGGCTATGCCTTTCTTGGTGGGTATCCTTTCAGGGGTGGCTTTAAAGGGTGGCTCCGGCTCTGGGAGGCCGCGCTGACCCAGCCAGTCTCAGGGCCGCAGCCTGAAGCGTTCTTGGTTGGGATTGTCCCTTAACCTTCATCTACCCGAATCGGTTTTGAGCAAGTGGCTCAAGTGGACCAATGCGCCCTCGAGTGGACCAAAAAAAGCTGGAAGGCCGTCTTGTTTGTTGTTTTGGCCCAAAAAGAGAGTATTTGTCTCACCTCCGATCGAGTGGATGGGCCTAAATAGACATCTTGTTTTTTGTTCAGAGAGTGACCAACAAGTTGAAATCCCTGAACTCGGGGTCGTGACCAATAAGTTGAAATCTATGAACTCAGGGAGTGACCAACAAGTTGAAATACGTGAACTCAGAGAGTGATGGGTATGAATTCTACAAAAGGAGAATTCGTAGGATACGGACACTAACCGGGGAATTTCAATCATTGAGGATGTGTTGTTGGGTCCTTCTGGAGTTTCCCGGAAAAACACATCCCGAAGGAGCACCAACTCCAAAGAACATCACTCCCCATGTTGGAAAAAGAGCACTTCCCAGGTGGATGAAAAAAATACTCATCCTGTACATCCCGGTTCTTCGAGGTTTTGGCCTTTTTGGCTGACCCAAGTTGGCCTCTCCCGGTGTCTTTTTCAGGGGCCGCCCACCTGGAACCGCCTGCCCGCCTGCCCGCCGGCCCCCCGCCTGCGACCTTCTTGAAGCGAAGCCGCTCGCCCGCCTCAAGTCGACTGGAGGAAATCCAGTTCTTGGGCTTGGGTTTCAAGGAACACCGAAGCCTTTCTTTGATGTTGTTTGTTGTGTGTCTTTTTTCTTTCTGTTTTGATACTAATGTTTTTGGGAGGGTCTCTTTTGTTGTTGTTTTTTTTTTTTTGTGGGGGAAGAACGTTCCCCTGAAAAGGACACACCATGGCGGAGTAGGTCTTTTAGGAATCGGGAAAACGACGTCAGCAGCGACTCCAATGGCCAGTGACCTTGGAAAAACCACCAGAGAGGGAGCGAATGATTTGAGAGAACAAGGCAGAGTCCAAAGGTGCGTGTGCCAAAATCATGGACCCCACAAAGGTGCTCGGAGGACACCCTCAACAGAAGCCCCGTACTTGATGCAATGGCCCTCGCCATTTTCGGTGAGTTGCGCTTCACGAAAGCGGATCAACCATGCAAAAGGGCAAGGATGACATTGCCATGCACACTAGCCAAATATGTTTGTGCCGCTGCGGAGCATCAAGGTACCCCTAACTAGGGCATTCACGCATCTGTGCATGGACGTTGAGCATACACAAGCGCAAACGCAAATGTGTATGTACATAGATGACACTCATATCCGGTTTACGACCCACTCTGAGGATTTCCATCATCTCGGGTGGGGTGCACTCTCGCCCATGCTAAAACTTCCTGCATCAGCCTCCAGCACCGCACCGGAACATGCCATGAGGTTCATTCTGCAGGTACCCTGTGCATGAATACCGGTGTTCCGACAGGTCCCCCTCTAACATGTTACCCGCCAAAACAACAGAAGCAACCATTTGTTTCAGGCTGTAGCTGCGTTTTGGGAGGCGGGGTAGCATAAGTGTGTATCTGCACTTCAAATTGGGCGTATAAAGGGGGAAACAAACACCCCAGACATCCAACCAACAAAACAATGGGGTGTTGATGTCACCATTGGTTGCCTGACTGACTCCTCGGGACGCCGAGCGCGCTCCAGCTCAGAGACCACCGCACCTGCCGCGAGGCTCGGAGAAAAAAAAGAAAGAACAAAACGCGCCAAACCGGGTGGTTCCACCGTTTGCTGTTCATATCTACCCCCCAACCAGACATGGAAGCGCAAAGGCCCTCTTACCAAAAGGAAAGTAGTTTTCCACTAGGGGTCTGTGCACTTCCATGTTTGTTGGTGGGAGTGTTTTTGGTCTCAAAATCAGGAACCCTTTCCGTGTGTTCCCCGAGACAACCTAAAAAACGGTGCCAATTCCCAAAACAAACAGTCACACTTTGGACCGTGCCTCAAAGGGGCGTTGCCCAGGTGTTTCCTAAAAAATACAAATGACGGTTGATGTCCTGTTGGTGTCCGAATGCCAAAGCACATGGCAGGAAATGGTTGCCCCTTGCTGCACCTCACCTTGGGGAGGCCTTTGGCCACCAGAAAGTGCCCGTATGTCGAAATGTGCACATCGGGTGTCTTTTTAAGAGGGGCCCGCCAAACATGTGTCGCTGTCCTTTTGGTTGACCTTCAAAAAGCCACATAACAAGGTACCAATTTAAAAAGGAGACACACCCATGCACGCGTCTCAAAATTAAAGACCTTTCCGTAGATTTCTGTGGGCCCCTGGTTTGAGACAGACAGCGTGTACCTAGTTGGCTGCGCCAAATTTCCATGCGGGATGCTCTGCGGGAAACGCAAACAAGGGGAACCCAGCGACGAAAGACATGTCCCTTAATCTGAAGCGTTCCAAACTTCAGGCTGCTGAAGGTGAGTTCCGGCATCTTCAGTTGCCAACATTGCATCGCCCACTGCATGGGAATTCATTTGCCTGGCACTATGAAAATGCAAAGGTTGATCCAACGCTCGAATACGTTACGTGAATACATATGCATCTGTTAAGATAGGTATATCTATGTAGGCCCAACCTGCCATGGTCAACAGGCCTGCTTGCTTGTGGTTGGTAGGCATGATCATCGACCCTTTAAACCTTGTGATTCTTAGGGTTGTCGACAAGAAGGAGTCCAATGCTTGGCAGAATTTGACCATGGCACATATGTGCCATGGTCAAAACTCATTTTGCCCATAGGAACCCCCATAACAGTGGTCCAAAACCCAGACCATCCCTGCCTATGCCCAGCCGCGCGAGCTGTTGTGAGCTCAGGCCTAAGGGAGCCAAAACATGTCTCAGTTGGGTGTGTGGTATTTTGGGTTGAACCAGTTGAACCCGTCAATTGGAAAACTATCATGGTGTGGTTTTAAGGGGAACCCGCTTTTTTTTTTGGGCGGCGGGGGGGGGGGGGTGAGGGAAGTAACCAAAAAGGAAAACCATCATTTTGGGGGAGGGAGGGGCGGTCCGCTAAGAAAAGGACACTTAGGGACCCAGAAATAACACGTGATCACCTTTTGGGGCATAAAGATGGGAAACCAAAAGGTCACAAGGTCGATTCGCTTTGAGCAAGTGAAATGTTGATGGGGTGCTGCTGACCCCGGATCTAAGTAGAACCCCTGGTTGATTTTGATTGGGGGACACGTGTCCAATTCCTTTTAGTGGGGATTCAGACCGCTTTTTGAGGAAACACTCCCTGAATAGATATTCATCCGGGGCCAGCATTACTCTTTGTTCCCTACACAAAGACGGCCGTCGAAATTGGAAGGGTTCCTCATGTTCGGACCTTGAAGGAAAGTCAGGGATCAGCTTTGGGTCCCAAAATGTCCCAAAAAGGCCAGTGCTTTTGGATCCGAACAGCGTCCGGCGGTTTGGTGCCTGAATTCAATCCCAATTGGCCCAATAGGAATCATATTTGCTTGGCTCATGTGGGGATGGTTCCAACAATGCGTCCAATTTAAAAACCAACAGGGTGCCCCCTTCTGTTCTAAAGGGAGTCACAAAAGGGGCAAAATAGGCGGAGCTCCTTCATCAACTCTGCTTTGGAGCCTAGGTTTAGGGTGAGCCTCACTGTGGTCCCTCACAAGTGAACCATAAGTAGACAAAACCGGAAAAGTAAATTGACCTCACCCCCGAGGGTCGTAAAAAAGGGTTCCGACACTTTTGCGATCCCCTTTCATCTTCAAAAGGTGTCGACCAGGGTCCAAAATCTGGACCTGTCAATTCCTAATTGGGGGTTTGGAAACGACACGAAAAACCTTCAATCCCTTTTTAGTGTCCTTTGCGAGGAAAACCGCGAAACGAAAACCCATCCGCTTTTTGGCTTCCCCTTTCAGCCCGCGCGACCTCTCTCTCGCTGGCGACCCGTGTCAACCGAAGCCTAGCCCCCGGCTCTTGCCCTCGCGCACCAGCGCGCCGCCGAGGTCCGCCGGCGCCACAACCTGCCCAACTTGGAGCCTCGGGGGTTTGGATTGGAGGGGGCTTCCACTTACCGCTCTTCAAGAAGGGGTTCAAATCGCAATCCAAACCACCAATCAGGAAGCTGAAAAGCAACAGCTCCCAAAAAACACGCCGGTAACCCAGTAGGCTGAACAATTTGGGATTCCTTTTGACATGAGTTCGCCACCCTTTCCACTTCCCTGCTACTGGGTTCTTCCGCCTTGAGGACTTTTGTACAAGGCACTGTCAAAATTCAACATCCCCCATGGAAGTAAGCCCCTTTTGGGTGTGTCTTTTTCGGGGGAACCCTCCAAATTGGTGGCTTTCTGTTCGCTTCCCTTGAAACTTTTTCAACACCAGGCACCCTCAAACAAAAAGCCCATTTTCCACCCGCAATTCAGTCTTTTAGAGGTGTCACTGGATTTCCCAAGTTGCAATCTACCAGTGCATTCCACTGAACCTGCCATGTATCGAAGGTCCAGGGGGCCCCATACCAATCAGGAACTCCTGCCTCGTAGTTGAACATGGCGCTCCGGATCGCGCCCGAGTTCTCCGAGAGTGATGCGAGATGCGCGGTGTGCGACTTGCTGGTTCAAGCCAGTGGTTCCATACTGAGCCTCAAAGAATCCGAACCCAAAGAAGCATCTCGCGGCCGATTTTGGTGGCTGCGGGCGGCCGGCGACGATCCCGAGGACCCGAGGACGCGCTTGCCGGGCGAAGCCGCGCAAGCGAAGCTTTGGCTCAGTAAGAGTAAGGTTCCCTAAATGTCCCCGGCAGCCAGAAACTGAGCCAAACGGGGATGTTTTGTTGAGACATGGTGCGAATCCCTTCCTGGCACACGGTGAAGCCCTATTGGGCCTGTCTTCCACTAGTCGCAACTACCTCCTCTGGGCCACTACATGTTGAGGGCTTGCGACTGCAACCCTTCAACGAATTTCGAAAATCAATCAGCAAGTGGCGGATCTGGACACTTGAGGGCCCGCCTACCGCTTGGATCCAGCCACCGAGGAATCTGACAAAGAATCGAATCACATGAGTGCGGGTCAAAAGCGGGCTCCCAAAATCGAGCCATGGCAAATGGCAACAATACCCAAATTGGAACCTCACTCGCAACTTGGGAACATGGTGTTTTCTGAGCGCTTGAAATCTCGCTGTGGCCCAAAGCCAAACTGTTTCTAAAGGTCCACGTTCTCCTTGTCCCCACTTCGGGAAATGAATGCCTCGCCAGGTCAAACCCATCCATGCGCCCGGGGTCCGCCAGATGTTACAAACATCGTCTCACAACGAAACGGGTGTGTTTTTGGTGTAAGGGGGCCCCTTTTCGGTTGGTGTTTTTTTGGGAAACACCAATTTTGGGGGCTTCCCTCAAGAAAAGACAACCCAAATGCAGTTCCCCACTGTCGCGACTCCCAGTCCCGAAGCTGCAACGCCGGAAGGTGGGTGACGGTGCGCCTCAGCTGACTCGCCGGAAACCGCGTAAGGGGAAGCCGAGATAGTTTATTAACAGCGTGTTTAGTGAGTATTCATCACTGTTGGAGGGGGACACCCCCCAGTTCAGACTGGGGTTTGCTAATCCGGGCCAACTTTGTTGTGGATAATGCGTGTGAATGCAAAGGGTGATGTGTGTGGGTGTGTGTGTGTGTGTGGCGGTGCCGATGATGGTGCAATGGCAGGTGAGGATGCAAATGGCTAATGCCAGATGCCAGCAATGCCAGTAATGCCAAAGATGCTGGTGCGGCCAGCAGTCAACAACGCCAAGGATGCCAACGATGCTGGCGCTGCTGGTGGTGCCAGTGATGCTGCTGGTGCCAATGATGCTGGTGATGCCAGTGATGCTGGTGATGCCAATGATGTGAATGCTGATCACGCACGAATCACCTTCCACAAAAAAGAAGAAGTGCAAAGACACACACTGACACAATGAATGGTGGTTTCCTTTGGTGTTCCTTGAACACCAACCCAAATGCACCCTCAAAGAGACACACCTGAATTCTGGCTTTGTCAGCAACGGCATGCACCCCCACCACAGGCTTCAAATTGAAGGCAACACGCATCCCTTCACCCGGGGTTTTTGGCGAACTTCTCCACGAAGCTGGCCAGCCAAAAGACTTGTGAGGCTATCGGAAGATGCGAATATGTCACACCGCGTACCAGGGGTTTGCGGTTTCACCCTCCAAAACAAGCGCCTCTTGCATCCATCCAGACTTCCCATTGCCAGGGCTGTGATTGCTTGGAAGATTGTCGACTGAGCCCAAACCACTGAAAATAAAAGATCGACATGCTCTTTGACAGGGATACTTCGATTTCCGAAGACACAAAGGCTGATAACAGTGACCCTGCAAAACAAAGGTACAATACTGGAATTTAGAACTCCAAAAATACATTTGTGGGTTTGCCAGATTGCAAAACCAGGGCGACATCTCGCCATAGCACGGTCTAAACCCAAGCCGTGCGAACCCGATGGTGGTGAACCCGGTGGTGGTGAACCCAGATCAATAAATCGAACTCTTTGATAAACACCCCTACTAAAAGGAATTGGACACCCGCCCCAATTCAACCACCTACTATCAATCAATGGAGGTTATTCATTCGGGTCAGGTGGTAAACTTGCTTGTGCGCAGTCGGGAATGACCTTCCGGGTTTTGGGAATGAACCTGGGGATTCCCTCAAAGGAAACCATAGGGGATGGCTTTTCTTGGGGTCATTCCAATTCTCGTTCCCTGCCTAGAGAACCAGCAAGTAAAACAAGGTCCCCGTTTCATTTGCCCATCCAGAAAGAAAGCGAGGCTTGAGGCGTCTGCTTAGTGCCTCCCTCTGCACAGCAGCCGCCACCTCGGACTGACACAGGTCCCTGCACCCACCTCTTGGTGAAATGGCAAGTCTCAAGGGATTTTCTGCGTTTGGAGGTGCTTTTGAAGCGGACTTCCCCTTTGGAACCCCCCATTGGGGATGGCTTTCGAGGGCAATCAAGTCTTGAAGGGACTGGAGGGCGTCCTAAAATTGGAAAGGGACTACTTTTGGTGATTGACGGAACAGTCAAATGCCGATCAGACCTCCCGTCCCGTCCAAATCAATGTCATAATGGCCAAACCCGAATCAATTGGAACGATTTCTTCAAAGCAAAAAGGATCAGGACGCTGAACTTGCGGCAGGGGAAGGCAGAGGCCCAAACATCGCACCCACGCACCTTCCTTGGTTCAAAACCAATGTCTTGACGGCTAAACAATGATAGGCACCAGAACCAAGACCAGATATCCTTGAGAGCTGATTGACCCGTACTTACGCCAGGCTTTGCCAGAGGGAAACCAAGTCTAGGCCAAGGTGTAGGCCTCACATGTGCCATGGTCAAACCTCCCGAATCTGCGAGTCATGGTCATGAAACCTTTTCATGGATTTGTCTAAAGCCCCTATTGAGTTGCATGGCATCCCGGCCACCTCTAAGAAAAGGGGGTCCCTTCAGCCCCGGTTCCGGGGCAACTTTCGAACCCTCGAGATTTGGCCCGGTGATTTTGCCATAATCCAAATCATCCAAGTGATTGAGGGGATAGAAAACGAAGTGCTCTGACTTTGCTACCCCAAAAGCCGTCAAGACAATGAGCCTTGTGAAAACCGCACTTCCTGAGTGGATTGCCCAACAAAACATCAACTTGTTGCTTGCAACGTCATGGTTACCAACTTGAGGAGCGGGTGAACGAAAGCTAGCAGTTGTTGCATGAGATGGGTCGGTGACAGAGTGGATTCATGGGTAGCTTGTGTACAACGAGAGGCCCGGCAAGATTCGTAGGATGCGACACGCAAACGCACATGGTGGCGTGGCAAACCTTGAAAAATAAAAACAACGAGAGGCGTCAGAAGCTGTCTTAAAGCACCTCTGGGTTCTGCATGCTGCGTGTGCAACGATTCTTGCGAGGTGGTTTACTGAGAAGACTGAGGTCTCAAATGAACAAGCTGAATCGGTGGAACATGTAAAAGTTCGTAGCACCAAGTCCAAAACGGGCAAACCGAGACTGCTGAACACTGAGCCACTGCCCGGGCGGGGGGGATGGACCAGGGAGGAATCGAGCCTGGGACCGGGAAGGGGGGGGGGGGGGGGGGGGAGGGGGGAAGGGGGGGAGGGGGCGGGGAGGGGGGAGGGGGGGGGAGGGGGAGGGGGGGGGGAGGGGGAGAGGGGGGAGGGGGAGGGGGGGGCGAGGGGGTCTAAATAATTGATGTCTCAAATAATTGAAAAAATCAATCTTTCGGCATTTGAGCCCCTTACCTTGCTTACGCAAGGAGAAACTTCAGCTAGCTAAAGCTAGCTTTCGTGACTTGGGAAGTGAGAAAAAACGGTGATACCCACATGGGCCATCCTCGTGACTACTTACTACATTGAATTTTCCCCAAGCAGCGAAGAATTGGGGTTCTAACTTAAGGTTTAAAGATTGAGCAAGTGTGATGCTGGCTCCGGCATCAAATGCCAGATGCTCCTGTGACGCTGGGTCCCGACGCCCCCCCACCTGTTGTTTCTTTGGGGCCGGACCCGCCCCACTCCCCTCCGCCCAACCCCGCCCCCAAGACGTTGCCTCCTGGCGCATGTCCAAGCCCGCAGAGGCTGCTAGGGCGCCCGTCCTATCAAAAGCCAGAAGCCCGTTTTGGGGAGTCCCAGCCTTTGGGGGTTTGGCGACACGCCAGCATTTTCAGCGGACCTCGATTTGGAGAAGAAAAAAAAAGTGGTGTGCTGGTCCAAAGTGACAAGGACCACAAGTGAAAAGAAAAAACAGAAAGAGGGCAACTAAGTTTGTCCACCTTTCTTATACGGTAAGACACCGAAAATTGTGGCAGGGTGTTGCGGTTGGTTGTGGTTTGCAAAGGAGTGGTGCCGTTTCCGTTCTCAACCATTGATCTGTTCAGAAACCCCGTCTAAACTGGGCTTGGAGCCGGCGGATGCCCCGTTCGCCATATTGCAAGTAAACCAACCACGGCATCCACCGTTGGGGGTTGAAACTTGCTGGCGCTCAGTAGGGAATGACCTTCGAGGTTTTGAGAATGACCCGCGTTGGGATTCCCCTAAAGGAAACCATAGGAGGTGTTTCTTGGGGTCATTCCATTTCTCATCCCCTGCTGAGCACCAGCAAGAAAAAGAAGTCAAGAGGACACCAACCTCGAGAAACGCCCCGCCTGGCCGAATCCGCACTCGGCTGCAGCGACAGCAGCATGATCCACAGCCTTAGATCTACACACTTTGGCCCGATGCGAAACATGGTCCGGTTGGCCAAACAAATGCAAATGGGAGTGTCTGAAAATACAGGACCCCCTTCGGTTGGGATTCAAAGGGCCAAAGGAAACCAGCGAACCCTATTTCGAGAAACACCATGGGTGTGATGTGCTGTTGATGGTACCTTCGAGGTTGATTTTATCGGTAAACTGAAGGGAAACCGAGGCCCAGTTTGGGGAGTACACTTTGAGACAGTCCCAGTGGGGCATCTGACAATTGTTGCAAACTGTTGCGGTGGCGTCTGATGGAGTCCATTGAAATCCAATCAGTTACGTGCATTGCTTGTACCATGCTCAAACTTGTTCAGGGCATGATTCTTGCGAGAGCCAAAACAAAGGGCCGTTCAATGAAAGCCCCATAATGGAAACACAGCTAGAACTACCCGTTGCCCCAAACGGCCACCTGTTTCAAAACACATGCTCAAAGCTGACTTTGTGCATGCTGAACCTTGCAATTGGGCAAACAGTGAAACAAGGTTCGCCCCTTTTAACCAAGGGATTCGCAAAAAAAAAAAAAGGTTCCAACAGGTATGTGTCAAAGAACAACCGGGAGACCCCCCCCCCCCTCCCCCAATTTTTTGGCGGGCCTTTGGGTTCTGTCAAGGTGCAAAGGGAAGCCTCGAAACCTTGCTGTTGCTCAATAGGGAATGACCTTTCGGGTTTGGGGAATGAGCCGTTTTGGGATTCCCTTAAAGGAAACCAGGAAACCACCAGTTGGATGTTTTTTCTTCGGGTCATTCCAATTCTCGCTCCCTGCCTCTCGAAGCAGGCGGGGACAAACGCACGGCACAGCTTGGGGCAGGGGCGGGATCACCTGCTGCAGCAAGGCCTCAGGAAGCTCGAAGACCAGGGCCTCACAAGAGCCGAGTGGAGTCTGACCCTTTTCCCATTTCCGAGGCTCCGAAATGAAGAACTTGCCATCGGTGCCTAGGTCCTCCAGTAGAGAGGTAGAGAATGAAAGTTGGAATGCACCCGGGGGTCCGGGGTCATTCCCTCCTTCTCCACTAAGCACCAGCAAGACAAATACCCACGTGTCGTGAGTTCTCAAGTTTACCCCCTGTTTCTACAAAAACCCTGGCTCAGAGTGCACAAGCCCTAGAAAACTCTGCGAACGCAAGCGAAGACCCTTGAAGTTCAACCCCTAAATCCGCCAGGTATGCATCATGTTTGAGGCCGCCAAAAATTTCTGAGCCGAAGGTACAGAGACACCGTCCGTCTTCATGGGTTCCAGTGGTTGACTTTTGAGCCGAAGCGAGGGAAGCGAGTCCAGGATTGAGAAAGCCCAGTTTGCTCCATGTGAAAGGGGATCCGTGAATTTGTTGGGGAAACCTCCCTGTGAAGCAGTAAGACTGATTAAGCTGGGGTGGAAGTTGGTGGGGAAGGGACAAACATCTTCACAAAGGTGCCAAAAACTTAAAAAGTCAACGCAAACAGCAGCCGAGAAGCCACGGGAGGACAGGCCCTTGAAGGCGGACCAAAAAAAACACTCGGTGGTATAAATAAACAATCCAGCAAACAAACAAACAAACAAACAAACAAACAAACAAGCAGACAGACAGACAGACAGACAGACAATCAAACAATCAAGCAAGCAAGCAAGCAAGCAAAGAAAGAAAGAAAGGAAGAAAGGAAGAAAGGAAGAAAGAAATAAAGGAAGAAAGGAAGAAAGGAAGAGACAAACACAAACAAAGAAACGAAGCAAACAAAACAAGCAAACAAAAGACATGTGTATAGCCATCTATACTCATACTGCCGCTATAGAATCAGGGGCAACTCACCCAAATATGGGTGGTCATTTTAACCGATGCGCCCAATGTCGCCACCAACACCTGGGTCGAATTCTTGGATCCACCGCTGCGGAACCCGGCCACTGCCCAACTTCAAAGGAAGGCTTCTGGACGGATGACTTTGGCGATCGAAAACCAGGGCGGCTACCCAAAATGCTCGGTGCCCTCTTGGTTCCCCATATGCAAAACGTGCCTTTTTTTTTGGACACTCCCTGACAGCGACGATCCACATCTCGTCTAGTGGCTTCCCAAGGAAAAGGATGAACACCCTGCTTCCGTCTGGTGATTCGCGTCCAAACAAAACACGGCGAAAGGGCGCCACTGCCCAACTGGATCGTCCTATGTTGGGGCAGCTTCGCTTTGGTTTATCTCAAAGGGCTCTTCCCATGTCAAGAAAATCTAAAGAGCACATACCCACCAACTAGCGTGGAAGTGCAAAAAGAAAGGCCCTTTCTAAGAGGAAAGTCGTCTTTCTACAGGGGTCTGTGCACGTCCATGGAATCGCTGGAGGGTATCCGCCTGAGCTGCTTCGAGACCGGCCCCGCCTTGCCCAAGCCATGAAGCTCCTCGAGGCAAGGGGCCTGCGAGGAGCTCGTCCCGCTACGCGGCGAGAGAGGCGTGTCCCGGGGACTCCACCTTTACGAGAATTTGCCCAAACCCATGCCATGTTTTTTTTCTTGTAAAGAAAGCACGGTTAGGATGATCATGACAAGAGTGACAAATCAATTGGCGCGTTGGGAAAATAGGATGTCAAGAAAATATCAGGACAATCTGAAGTACTGTCAAAACATGGAGCTGCAACGGACACCAAAGTTCATCAGGATGTCCAGAAGTGCAAGAAACAAGGGGATGAGATGAACAGTGAGATTGTTCAAGATACAAAGGAAATGTGATATTGACTATGTCCTGGATGACCAGGCAGCCGAGCAAGGTAGCGATTTTGCAATTCTAGGTCAAACGGTCAAACAGACATCGCGGTGGCGGGATAAGCATGAGCAGAACTTGAACAATACGGCATGAATCAATTTGCAATGTTGACATTCGGCTTAGGAATTGCACACCGTGACTAGCACGACAATGCCAAGGAACAAAATGACCAGCAATTTCCCGCAATTGATAAGCAGGCGGAGGAGCATGAGCAGCGCTGGCGGCGGCGGCGCTAGTGAGTGGGGGTGGCAATGACGGCAATCGTGATAATGAAATTGACCACAATGATGCTAGTGGGAGTGATTATGATTAAAGGAGGAGTCGGGGGAAAAGCAGCAGAAGGAGGAGGAGCCCCACCTTCTCCATTCCCCGCAACCCAACAACCCAACCCCCCAACCCAACCCCCCCAACCCAAGCCCCCCCAACCCAAGCCCCCCCAATCCAACCCTCCAACCCCCCAACCCCCCAACCCCCCAACCCCCCAACCCCCCAACCCCCCAACCCCCCAACCCCCCAACCCCCCAACCCCCCAACCCCCCAACCCCCCAACCTCCCAACCCCCCAACCCCCCAACCCCCAGCAAGGCAGGCGCCTCGCCCTGGCCCCCTGCCTCCACCACCTGAGGCGCGAGGTCCAAGAGCTTCAGCGCCAGCCCGGGCCTCGCAGGACATCCGTGTCTCTGGATCCCCAGGTCCCCCGATGTCCCAAAACCAATCCACCAACCCACCAATCAACAGAAACCAAGAAACCAAGAACCAAGAAACCAAGACACCAACAACCAACAAACCAAGAAACCAACAAACCAAGAAACCAAAAAACGAAGAAACCAAGAAACCAAGAAACCAAGAAACCAAGAAACCAAGAAACCAAGAAACCAACCAACAAACAGGCAGACAAACAAATGGACAAACAGACAAACAAACGGACGGATGGGCGGAGAGGTGGACAAAAGAACAAGCACACAACACGAAATCAGACACGGCACAACTCAAATCAATGACCAAGCCACAATATGACTTATTGCAGAAGTTCAGTAGTGTACGCAGTTTGCCCCTCAACAAATCGTGGAATCCCAAAAGACACATTTGGGTTGCATACCTAGAAATGTTTTTTTCCCTCAATCGGGTTGTTTCCAAATGGGCTACGTGCAACCAGGGGCTTCAGTCCTTTAGGGTCACAAGAAACCCAACGGAAACCGATGGGAAGCCTATGATTTGCCTCTTGGAAGATTCCCTCCGTTACCCTGGCTGAGTTCCGTGACTGTCAAAACAGGGCGGTGCCGAATAGTTGGCATCCCCAGTCTTTCCCTGTCCGATTGTGGAAACTGTAACCACTCCTGCGATACCACCGGGCAATCGGCTGTCTCAATGACTAAGTCTCCGAAGAAATCAAGACAGCTGTGTTCCCGGGCATCACAGCGGGATTTCACATCCCCTCATTGCCACGCTCCTGCTTGGCCCTTGTACGTCCTTTGGTCCTGGAGCTGTTTGCCCTCTGGTCCAAGCATCGCAAAGCGACACTGGAACAAGGCGCCAATACCGAAAATCTGCGGGAGAAAGCCATGCGCTTTTTCACCGGAGAACGCAGTTCTCGTTGTTTGTCAAACTGAAGAGGTGATGGCGTCACTCGCCGGCGGCCTACCGTTCGCATTTCATGAGAAAGTGGGGGATGTGACCTCCGTATTGAAAGGCAATCCTCGCGTAGCTTTTGTCAGTTGAGCCCTGGAGTCATTGAGCAGCAGACAGGATGGCTTCAGAATCTCAAAAGCCTGGCTTCCCCAAAAATTTCCTATGCCCCGTTGTGGACGGACCGTTGGACCAATGCGCGGTCTGATGTTGCCCAACAGCACGACTTCGTGTCTCCACAATTCTGAAGCCGAAACTGGTGGCTTCTCGTCCACCGGTGGCTTGGCCGAATCAGGTTCGTTTTACGTCAGCCCAAACAGGTCGTTCAAAAACAATGACTGCCAGTGCGGCAATGCTCAGTCTGGGCAACTCGAACGCATCCGACTCAACCCAGTCTTACTTGGAGACAAATTGCAAATCCGCGAATCACCAAAACACACAACTAATAACTCATAGATAAGAAGAAGAATCACCATGATAGTGAGAATATATATATATATAAAGAAGGAAAATAAACATGGCCCTCCGAAAGCCCACGGACCCCATGCCTCTCAGAGCTCCTTGGGCGCCAAGCGCCCTGCGTCTTGCGACGTCTTGCGTCTTCCCGTCTTCCCGGGCAGCTGGGTGGTCAGGGCTCCCCAGATTTCCCCCCCAAAACATCGGACCCCACCAAAAAGTCTCTCACCTTTCAGGGGCCAAGGTGATGCTTTTTCTCACCAGAAAGGGGGACCCCCTGAGAAATCACCAATCCAAACCAGGAGAATATGCTGTTTTTGCCACGGACTTGAGGAAATGAGTGAGTCTCCTGGTGGATTCGAGGACTGGCGCCGCAAGGGAGATTCTTCTGTGTATGTAAGCTAACCAAACGGCACCACACAAGCAAGCGATAACTCTTTTATCCAAGCAATGTGTTGGTGCCAGGGACTCATCTTCCCCTGTCAGATGTCAACGGCTGGGTGGGCCCCATGGGCCACCCACCACAAACTCTCAAAAACTGACGAACGGGTGTGCAGACTGATAGCGCCCGCCCCTGAGCCGGGGCCCGGGGCACCCAGGCCACAGGGGGGTCTGCCACCAGGGGAAGTGAGTCACCCACCGGCTCCGGTCACGGGAGCATGGGTGGGCCCACGCTAAGATCAAACGCATCTCCATTCAGGAGACGCGGGAGAAAAACGAACTCCTCGCAGAGTTCCTGTTTGGGGACCCTGTGCAAAGGGTCGAACCCAGAGAAATCTGGGTGCGTCAGTTCATCAGCCCACTGCGAGCAGCCATGGGTGTGGAGCAGGAAGACCAGCTCCATCAGGATCGCTGCGGTGTAGGGCTTCTTGGATCCAAGGTTGAGCATCGCCATGACGTTGCCCTGATTGTCACTGCCCACCGGGAGTCGGACCCGGGAGGACAGAGGGCCTTGGTGCGTGAGGATCATGTTACAGAGGAAGAGCGTGCCCAGCATTTCCAAAGCCGCAATCCTCCGCTTGGGATCCCCATTCTTGAATGCCCACGGGTACTCTTCCACGTGGATCTGCTCGTGGAACCAGTACACCTCCTTCTTTTCTGGCTCCATTTTATTGGAGCACCAAGTCCTTCGTCCGAGGCGCTAGCATCGCTGCAACCCCACCAAGAGGACTTCGGCCAGTAAGGGGAGTACTGGACGAAGGGCGTGTTGAAGAGGAACCGCAGCATGAACGCCAGCATCCTGACCACCTTGGGGGGTTTCCCCACCGTGGTGGTGGCCATCTTCCAGGCCCAAAGTGGCTGAAGCATCGACTTCGCCAACGGACATGCAGCAGTTGCCCATTGGATGCGGCCCAGGGCCTTCTCGATGTCCTTTGAGTGCATCGCCTGCCCTTCCACCATGGTCTGCAAGACCTCCATCACCATGGATGTGTTTGTTGGCGGCCATGAGAACCTGCGGGATGTTCGGGTGGACCACGAAGCCCAGCCACGTGTTGACCTCCGCCAAATGTGTCTTCTTCCAGCTAAGCGGGGTACCCAAGGCCAGGAGTGTTGCCAACAGCGCAACCGCCAAGTTAACTGCCCCCTCGCTGCGAAGCAGCCAGAGGAAGTCATCCACAAAGACGAAGTTCCAATCCACTTGAGGGAAAAGTGCGTAGAGGACCCTGAGTAGAAGGGCTGCCAGGCGTCCCCAGCAGGATTGGGCACTGGCCATGCCGTATGTGCCTACCTTGTTCACCCACCATTCTTCCCCCAGTGAAGCCTGGAACCGCCAGTCCTTCCTGAGGACCTTCACTCTCCGGTGGGCCTTGGTGACGTCCGCCTTGAGCAGTACCCACCTGGTGCCCGGCTCCGGCCATACCCAGCCCTCGGATGGAGGTTTGACGACCTCCTTCTCGGGGCCAGGGGCACCCTGAGAGGGAGGTCCCTCCGCAGCTGCCGCATGTAGCCAATGAAGAGCTTGTACCCCATCCAGCACCGTCGGAGCCGTCGTCCTTTCCACCGTCTGGTTCCTGGTGGTGTCATTGGCCCCGCCCACCGAGCCATCGTAGATGGTACGGATCTTGTCCCCTTCGTCGATGCCCGCTAGGGGGCCTGGACAAAGGTCCTCAATCTTGCAGCCACAGCGCGCTGCTGCCTCCACCTTGGTGAGGGGGCCCTCTACCATGCCCATGGGGACCTCCTCCAGGAATGTGCCACGGATGAGCTCACTGAAGTGATCCGCTGAGGGGTAGTTACCCCGGCCCGTGGGATGAGGGAGTTCCTGGAACTCCGGCTCCTCCCCTTTTAGCTCCTTCTTGAGTGGCCAGATGCCCGGCGAGGCTAGGGGTGGGTCCGTGACCCTCAGTAAGACCCCTTGTTCCAGATCCCTAGGGAACTGGTGGTCGGGGTCCTGAATGTTCAGCGCCACGCTGTGCAAGATGTCCAGGAAGAAGGGTTGGCCTTCAGCTGGTCGGCCTGCCCCCAACGCAAGGATCTCCCTGATATCCTCCAGCAGATCCTCCGGGAAGGGATGTGACCCGTCCCCCAACGATAGCGACTCCTGGAGCTTGTCGCCCCATGGCGAAGTGAGGACACAGATCTTGGCCCCCATCGCTGCTTTGGACAGTGGCCGGGTCCACGGAGCCAGCCGTCCAAGCGAGTCCCACCCCCGTCCCTGAGGGGGCGCTGTTTGAAGGCCATCTCGAGATACATCACCTTGTCGGAGAGATTGGGGTCGTGCGTGATCGGCAGGGTGGTGGGCCGATCCGAGATCTCCATGCAATGGCGTGCCCATGGCTCAGGAGAAAGAGTTCCACCCCGAAGCTCGACCGTCCCGCCAGCCGGCTGCGCTGGTGTCCGGACCTCCGGATTGTCTGCGGCCGAGACCGGAAGTGAGCCCAAGGTTAGTCCCGCCAACGCTTGCTGGCCGGCCTTCAGCCTCAGGGACTGGCGCTTGTTGTCCCCCGGCGTGATGGGAGATGGTTCCCTCTGTCGCCTCGGGGGGGTCGTTGGCTTGGGGCACTGCGCCCCCCGGCCTCAGCGCCTCCAGGACGGGACCCGCTCTGCAAAGGATGGCCGCTGCGAGACCCTGCATCATCTGCTCTGGATACCGGCTGAGATCACTGGAGTTGAGCTTTTCCCCCCTGGGGTGAGCTCCGTGGTTGCATCGCAGATCATGCCAATGGTGAAGGGGAAGGTCCGTTGACAATGTCGTGGACTTCACTACCACCTGGCCCGGCACTCGTCAAACTTGATGAGGGAGTGGTGGAGTGCGTTCGCCCATTGAATGTAGGCCCGTGTGACCCAGATCGATGAGCACCTCGCTGCGCTCGGGCTCTTGCTGCACTCCATTGGGTCCATTGGGTGCTCCAGGAAGGAGGAGCCCACCTGCGGGACCGTTAGTTGACCGAGTCCCTGGTAGGCCAGATCTGCCGGAGCATGAGCACGCTGTCGTTGTCCGTGTCCTCCATTACCCGGGGCTCCAGGTCCTCTAAGCCCCACAGGGTCTGCTCCGCCCTACCCCTCACCGGCGGCGGGCCTCCCGGTTTGGGGAACCATCTGAGAATGCTCCACGTCCTAGCAGTTGGGGCCGCCCCCCACAAAGGCGACTTGCCCGCCATGGCCATGGAGCACATCGTAGAGTAAGGCTCGTCTCCCAGCATGTCCTGTCCAAGATCTCCACCCTTTCGCCTGATGTCCACTGCCCAAATGTACTCCGAGAAGGCCGGGTTGTAGGCATGGAGGTAAGCATCCAGGGCCCCCGCATCATCCTTCCCAGCGTACAGCAGGATGAGGGACGGCTTTGACGACTCCGGCACCGGACGTGGCGTCCACCTCAGTCTGAGCCTCAGTCTTTCCGGGGTGTCTTGCATCCAGTGGGGCTTGCCCCCCCTGGGGTTTCCGTGTGTCCTTTGTCTGACCCTCCGGTCATCTGGCCCTGGGCTTGCTGCTTGCCCTGACGGTTCTGCCCGCCCTTGGAACGCCCCTTGCCGGGCGGATCCTCACCTCTGGGTCTCTCTGGGGGGTCTTCCCACTGCCTCGGTGGGTGCGGGGGAAAGGGATGCTTCCGCCCTTCTGGAGTGCTCTGGCTGGGTCCGCTCCTCTTCTTCGGTGGAGGGGCTTCCGGGGCCGGTGGGCACCCTGGAGAAATCCCCTCCCACCTGCGGCCGTCCTGGCCTCCCCCGCTCTGTCTGCCTTCCGCTGTTGGCTCTGGTGGGGTTGCGCTGTGTGCACTCTCGCACTGGTGGCCTGTGATCCCATCGGAGACCAGGAAGCCACGGGGCCTATGGCACCCTGAGTGGCCTCCTGTCACTTGGGAAGGTGTGGGCATGCCTGCGGCACATGCTTCGATGGGGGGGCATCACACACCCAGGGCAGTTGTGGGATCGGCCGCATGATCCCGAACACTTGTTGTGAAGGTGATGATCTCTGCATGGGATTCTTG